AAAAGGCGGCATCAAATCAAATTAAAAATGCTGATTTGGAAACAAGTAAAAGGGTGTTCTGCGTTTAAGAGGGTCCAAACCAGTGTTGTCAATTTGATTTAATGTTGCTTTTTTTATATTTACTGATTAAAAATTTTACATCGATGCCAAATTAATGCACAAGCACAAATTTAATGATGTTAGTGGATATCTCATTAATTTTAACATCATTTATATTAAATTTAATTTATACGGTTTAAATTTAACAGTTTTATTTTTATTTTTTATTTATATTTAAAGTAAAATATATATAAGAATTATAAAAAAATTTAATAAATATATCAATTAATTTGACAGTCCATATTTAATATAGATACCTCAAATTTAATATAAAAAAATTTAAATTAATTTTTTAAATATCTTATGAACAGTATAAATATATTTTGAATAGAACAGTAAATTTATTAAAAAAATTTAATATTAATTTTAGATCATCTATATTATATTTGGACTATCAGATTAACAAATATATTTATTAAAAATTTATAATTTTATATATTTTTTATTTTAAAAATATAAATAAAAATAAAAAATAAAAAATTAGATTTGAACCGTCCATATTTATATTAAGCCTCTGCCTTGAGGCAGAGGAGGCTTCTCTCAAAGGAGAGAAGCCGAGTCCATTTATATCATGTCAATGTTTTTGTAAAATTATAAGGACTAATATTGCACATGAGAAAAGCATAAGGATTTAAAACACAAAAAAAAACTTATAACAAAATTTAAATAAAGTATAAGAATTAAAAGTAATATTTTCTCAAAAATTTATTTATATATAAGATAGTAACACTTAAATTTTAAAAGATTAATTCAATAATAATTAGGTTTACAAAATTTGTTGAAAAAGGGATCACAAAGATCGAATCAAATATTTAAAATTACAAGTGTTGGTTGTATCTATTATTCAAGTCTCATGTGTCATTATTGATTGTTTGCAATAAGATCCATATATTTGCAAATTGAAGCTACTTTAAAAAAAGTTTTTTTTGAGCAAATACTTAACAAAATATATATGACTCATTTTTAACAATTTCTTTAATTTTAACTGCTATCAAATTAATCTTTTAAATTTTAAATGCCATTTTTATATATAATATAAAATTTATAAAAACGTGTACTATTTATAAGGGAAAAACAAGACACGTTGAAAATGTCTCTAGAGCCATCAATTCGGACTCCCTTTGGATTCCCTTGGGAATGACATTATGTTCAATTTATTTCAATTGAAACATATTTTTCTTTTTTCGAACACAAGTAAATTATCTTTTCTAAAGCACTGAAAGTAAATAGTAAACCTCCCTTAATTAAATTGTTTCACACCCAAGATATGAGATTTGAATCCTAATCTCTTGTTTAAGTAACAGCCCTTAACACTTATGTCAACTGTAGTTACTTACCTAGAAGACAAAAATGTGAACTCCACCCTAAAAATAATATGATATATAATTTAGTTGTCAACTTGTTATTATAATTTAAAAAAATTAATCATTTGATCTTTATAGTTTTGATTTGATTGTAATTTAATTTTTTAATTTTGACTCGTTATAACTTAGTCCTTAAAATTTTGACTCGATTCTTAAACTTTACCTCTTACAACTTAGTCGTTAGAGTTTCAATATCTTAAATATTGGTTCTTATATTTTTAAAAATAAAATTATAAAGATTAAAAATATTTTAAAATTTATTACTAATATTTTAAATTATTAAACCTTTTTAATTTTTATAAATATTATAAGTTTAAAATATTTTTAATTTTTATAATTTTATTTTTAAAATATAGAAACCAATATTTAAGATGTTGAAACTCCAGGGACTAAATTATAAGAGAAAAAGTTCAAGAACTGATTTATAACTGAGTCAAAACTTTAGAGGTTGAATTATAACGAGTCAAATGATTAATTTTCCTATAATTTATCTCCCTGGTAAAGTAAAGGAAATGAAGTGACAATAAAAAATACAATATATATATAATTTCACCCTAAAAATAGTGATATATAATTTTAACATTTACCGCTCAAATTTTTATATTTATTCTCATTTTACATTAATATTTTAATAGCGTACATTATTATTATTATTATTATTTTTTGCCACAAGGTACTACATCAGTATTCCTTTTGGCAAAATGTACACTAGTGCTCAGTGGCAAATACTCTTAAAAACGTGAATTGAGAAAAATGCATTGTTCGAAGCTTCTTTAATACAGGCCCATTAAACTACAGCCCAAAAGACTATCAGAATAAATGGGCTCAAAGCTAGACAGCCCACAGGTCCAAAAAAGCTAATAAGCCTAGCAGCGGATAGTCGGCTCCCCACAACTCGCCTCTTGCTCATCAATCAATCCCTTGGACCTTATTGTCAAAAAAAAAAAAAAAAAACCCTTCGACCTCCTCAAGCTCAATGACAATGAGAATGATTCTGATTTCTGAACCAGGCCAGGTTTAGTTAGTGATCCTTGCTTCTATGTCAATTAAGAAATTCTCCTTTTTTGCCAGTTACTCCGTGTCTTTGTGGTTTACTTGAGTGTTTCTAAACTGCAGCACACGAGTTCGAACTGGCATCTTCCCAAAAAAAAAAAGAAATTTGTTTTTTTCTGTTTATCCTTTGGGATTGTTGTGGGTGGGCGATGAGTGATGCTCCATTTGACTCCAGGTCATGAACGCAAGCCACATTTGCCTTTCACCTATCATTTGTGACTTGTGAATTAGGTTCTGTTTGATATTACCATAGGGAAGAAAGTAGTTGAACTAGCAAGTTTCAATATCTTGGTTTATACTGTCTCACTGCCTTTATTTTCATCGGAGAGTAATTTTCATAATCTGTTTCAATTGGTTTATACTGTCTCACTCCTTATGTCAGTGGAGTTTACTTGTGCTAAAAAAAAAATTGTTTCAATTGAAATCAAACATATCACTAGCCTTTGATGCTGCGAAAATGTTAGGCGTTTATATTTAGAATCTGAAGCAATTATATCATAGTAACTGATTTTTGTTAGTTGTAAGGCTTATATGAATGTTTGCTCAGATGAAGTAGTTATTTCAGTTGGTATGATATGAGTTTTCGTCTTTTTTCTGTACTCTTCCATTTCGGTTTCCCTTATCCGAGATAAACACGAAAAAAATCTAACCTGGCTTTGGCTTTGGGAAAGATATCCGAAACAACTCATCAAGGAGGTGTTTGTTCTGGAATTTATTTGAATCCTGAAAATGAGCGGAGAAGAATATGAGAGTAGTCATCAAGCTTTTGGCAATTATAGGCAAATCTGACGGGTGACGCTTGGACCCTATAATCTTGGAAGACTGATCTTGTCCTGCCACCCTACCATTTTGATGGTTCTTTATATCTATGGAATGTTTGGGAACAGAGGATGAACGTAATATCTTTAGATAAAAATCATTCTTATTTATAAGATTGATACTATTGGCCTCCTTTTTCTTTTCTACGCCATCTGCCCAGCCCCATATGAGTGGATGGTTTCTGTATTTATAGTATTGATACTATTGGCCTCAGATGATAATCTCACTTAGTTTGTTAAATTTTTTCAATTATGTATCTGTCTCGTTTCCCAGGACAAAATATTTTGTTTGATGAGGAAATTGTTTTGCGGTCAAGAAGGGGAAAAAGGAGTAAAAATGCCTAAAAAACATATGTAGTTGCCAATTTCACGGCGCAAAACCTTCAATACCTATATTTAATTGGTCTGCCCTTGTTTGTCATTTGATATTTGCGATGAATATTTTAAAACATTGTCAGTTTCTCTTGATACTAATTAGAGGTGCTTGCTATGATGCTCTGTCCTTGAAATTTACCTTATATTTTTTATTTGACACGACATCCAACGTCGTAAATGTTGAACTCTTTTTACTGTCTTGTACTGCACTCTCCTTATGCACACAAATTTACCTGAGATTTTATTTGAGATATACAGTGGAATTTTAAACTGTAGAACACTCCTAGCCTTAAGTATTAGTCACATATTTGTCTTTAGCATTTTGATGCAATGTCCAATTCTTTATGTTTCTGTTAGAATCCCTGAGTGAAAGATATGATGTTGTTAAATTGGAATTGGGGCAGTGGGCTTACGGATTGGTAGAAGAATTTGGAAGTCCCAGAATCTCCAAGGCTAGAAACATTTTTCTTCCTCTTTTCTTTTGATTGCTGTTGGAATGCCCTGTTTTCCTATAACTGTAAATCCCTGTAGTTCACTGTTAGGACAGTAGTTTCTTAAAGTTTCATTTGTTATTGTAAACTGTTATAGAGCTCAGGCCTGATTGATTTCATTAGTTGGGGAATATATCCTATGTTTGCCCATGCTTCTTCTCATTGGTACTATTTTTGGTTCAATGGATCTTGTCAGTCTGTTTTGAGCATGGCTTAATAACAACCTGTCAAAATCCTTAATTGAAGAAAAAGGAACAGAAAACATAAGAGGGTTAATTGGAGGAGTGGAAAATGTGATATAGCGACTTGGTTTGGCAAGTTATGGTTCTAATATCTACTGTGGCGGCTTGCTGTGTGTGGCTTAAATTACTGCAAAAAAAGATTTCTATGTCATAGAAGAAGAATATACTTGAACTATGGTTATATGCCGCAAATGATTATCATAGGTAATAGAGATGTTGATAAAGGCACTATTGTAGGGATTTGGGAATAGAGACGAGGCCCTTAATACCACAAGTTTTGAAGATCTCAAGTTTCAAGTAATCTGGAATTGGGTTATTTCAAGCTTTTCTTGAGCAAATTTTAACAAAACTGAAAGAAAAAGGGGAACATTGATAATAAATTCACTAAGGGTGCTACAATAACAAGATAAGAGGTAAGGAGGAACAGGCATCAAACAACATTTATATTTTTAGGATGCTGACTATAATAGAAAAAGAGTTAATGGAAGATGCTGTTGCGTAAACCTGTAGTATTCTGCATAAGCAATGAACCTTTAACCTTGTAATGAAAGTGGAGAGTTATCAAATTAATTATGGATTGAATAATATACTACTGATTCTTTAAAGTTTGATAACTGCAGCAAACATTCGGCACATGGGAGTCATCAGTTACATGGCTGAAAATTAAAATTATAAAAGTGCAAAAAGTTTGTCATAGGTGTGCGTATGTATTGTGAAAATATGTTGAAGAACAGACATTTCTCTTGTCTTCATTCTGGTGTTGCTCGGCTGATCCTGCATTCTTCAACCAATCAACAACTTCTCTCATGCTTGGTCTCTTGAAAGGATTCTGGCTGACACACATGCAGGCGACATCAAGCACCTTCAGCAACTCCTCTTCAAAGCCCTTTCCTCTTAGAAGTGGGTCAAAGACTTGATCTTGTTTTCCATCACTCCTCATTTGTTGCGTCCAAAGAACCAGTCCCATTGACATTTTTGTCTTGCACATGTCAAGAGGCCTCTTCCCAGTGAGCAACTCAAGCATGAAAACCCCAAAGCTATACACATCTCCCTGAAGAGTGGCCCCAGATGCTTGTCCATACTCAGGTGGAATATAACCTAATGTACCTAAAAGTTCAGTTGTAACATGAGTGTGATAAGGAAGTATCAACCGGGATAACCCAAAATCAGCAATGATTGCTTCAAAATTTTCATTAAGGAGGATATTGCTTGACTTTATATTGCCATGTACGATGTGTGGCACACATGTGTGATGCATGTAAGCCAACCCACAACTCACACCCCGTGCTATCTTCACTCGAGTAGGCCAATCAAGTTGAAATGTAGTGTCAGCCTTCTCATGCAACCAATAATCTAGGCTTCCATTTTCCATGTAAGTATACATGAGAAGCCGAAAGCTATCATGCACACAATAACCTTGCAAAGCAACCAGATTCTTGTGTTGGGCTGTTGACAAAGCCTCTACCTCTGCTTTAAATTCCTTTCCCGTAAGCCCCAATTCTCCTATAAGTTTCTTAATGGCTAGTTTATTTCCATCTGGTAAGATCGCTCTATAAACTAAACCAAAATGCTCAGATCCTATAATGTTGGCTAGACTGAAATTTTCAGTGGCTTTCAAGATCTCAGATATAGTAAGATCTTTGATTTCATTTGTTTTATTGGGGAACAATACCACTGGGCTAGCGTTCTTGTCTATTTTAGGATGAAAACCATTGTTATAGTCCGCAAAAGTTGATTCTTGTTCAATCTTATCAGTATCTCCTCTTGGATTGACCCTCCTCTTGAAAAGTATCCAGATTGTGAACACAATGATGATACTAATGGCAGCAAAGCTAACTGCAATGACAATTCCAATTACTTTACCTTTGTTCAAGGTTCTCTTTTTGTTCAAGGTTGTGCTATCACCTGGTGGACTGTGACAAGAGCGTTGAATAGGTGAACCACATAATTTTGGGTTTCCTGCAAAGCTGGAAGGAGGGAAAGTATCAAATTGGCCACCTATTGGTATCTCTCCTTGAAGATCGTTTCTTGCCACAGTGAAAAATGACAAGAAATGAAGGCTTTTGAGTGAAGCAGGAATTTCACCAGATAGTCGGTTCCCTGAGAGGTCTAACTTCTCTAAATTAGTCAGGTTAGAAATTTGAACTGGAATACTGCCAGAGAAGTTGTTATTGCCCAGATCCAGCTGATGCAAGACTTTCATTAGGCCAATCTCCATGGGAATATTCCCGCGGAGACTATTGTTTCTCAGATATATTGCTGGTGGTAGGTTGGAAAGCCGATTATACTGCAGCTGGGAAGCACTCTTTGGCACAATGAAGACAGGTAACTCCATGTAAGACCTTACTATTCTATCATTTGCCTCTTGTGATGTTAATGCTGGAATTCCTGTGAGTTCCCTGGGAAATATTCCTGTAAGGTGGTTATGCGACAAGTCTATGTAGAATAGCTGCGGAAGTGTGCTCAACCAAGGAGGAATTGAACCAGTGATGAGATTATAGGACAGATCAATGACCTCGAGCGTCCTAAGCCTTGCAAGCCAGCCCGGTATTTGACCTGTGAAATTACAACCACCCAAGGCTAGAACTTGGAGTTTTTGAAATTCATCTCGGCCGACTAAGTTCTCATCATATGGGATGGTTTCATTATAAAAATTTTTTGCAAGGACAAGGCTACTAAGGTTCTTGAGGCCGGTGAGTATCTTCATAGCTCCTGTGAAATTTCTTAGGTAGTTGGTAGATATTGATAGGAAAGACAGAGACTCAAGTCCAAGGATGTCTGGGGTGATCTGTCCCGCAAGCTGATTAGATGCCAGCCTTAATGCAGCAAGTGATTTGCATGCATAAAGGGTTGTTGGTAAATTGCCTGTAAAATTATTGTTGCCAAGATCAAGAGTAGTAAGCCGCTGGAATCCTGAGAAATTAAAGTCTGCAAGATTCCCCTCCAAGAGGTTGACCCTTAAATTTAACTGGACAAGATTGACACAGTTCGCCAGAGATGGGGGTAAAGTACCTGTCAAATTATTTGTCTGAAGCAGTAGCTTTTCCAGCTTGGATAGCTTACCAATATCTCGTGGTATGGATCCTCTGAAGTCATTGGAGTAGAGCTCCAGGACTGTGAGGTTAGTAAGGCTACCAATTCCATCATCAATATTTCCAGAGAGTTTATTGAGGGGAAAGGAAATCTTTCTGAGGGAAACAGCATCAAAAAGATCACAAGGAAGAGGCCCAGTGAGAAAATTGAAACCCGCTCGGAAAATCTCGAGTTTGGAACATGCTCCCCAGCCAGATTGAATTGAACCGTTGAAATCATTGTAGGAAAGGTCCAAGAATCTGAGGCTTTCATTAACGCAAAGTTGAGAAGTGGGAATTTGACCTGTGAAGCTATTGTTACTAACATTAAAAGATGTCAAGGTCCCTGCTGCAGCTGCAGCTTCAAGGTACTGAAGGAAAGAAGAAGGGAGTGTTCCTTGAAATAGATTGCTAGACAAATCAAGCTCCTGGATAATACTACTGGTTTTGTTATTATTAAGATCAGATGCTGGCAATTCATCGGAAAGACGATTGTAGCTCAAATCAAGAATCTGCAGGTGATTAAGGAGTGTGAAGAATTGGGTTGGGAGATTACTAGAAAGTCGATTGTGGGAGAGATTGAGCTGAGACAGGCCAGTGAGGTTAGTGAGAGCAGGGGATATAGAACCGGCGAGACCTCTGGATGGAAGCAATAAGCCAATTACTCGCTGATCCCCATTATCCTTATCTCCCTTGTCACAAAGAATGCCTTCCCAAGAGCAGCAATCAACGGAAGCAGACCAATTAAGTGGAGGGTGAGAGGAAAGCGTGGATATATTACTGGAGAAGGCCAAGAGAGACTCGTTATCCAATTGGGTACAGGAGGAGGAGACACTGACAACGAGGCAAGACAGAACTAACGGTACGATGAGAAAGGCCACTAATCTCAGAACCATAATTATGGAAGATGAAAGGGAGGCAGAGAGTCTTCTTGTTGATGATGTTGATGGGGGTGGCATTTGTCTGGGATATCTGTGTGTCATCAGGATAGATTATGTCATGGGGATCTTTTTGCCTTGAAAACGCTGATGAAGGTGATGGGGCAGATAAAGATGGAAAGAATGGGGGATATATGGGGACTGCTATTGATCAGTCTGGTAAGAGCAGTTTGGGGTGTTGGGGACTGTTGCATCGGAGCGCTCCATCCATTGGCCCTGAAACAGGAAGCTAAGCGGGAGAATGGTGGTATCGACTCGACTCGACTCAGAATTCAGTGGATTTCACTTTTTGGTGGGACTTTATGTACGTCTATGGAATTCTTTGTTTTATTTTCTTCTTTTGCTCGAAATTCTATGTTTTATTTTCAAGTCATTTCATGTAATTATGACTCTTGTTTGAACTTGCAACAAGCTGGATAATATAATTTTGCTGCTCGAAAGCAAGCCGTGACCATAGGTGAAACGATTAAAATTTAATTTTGATCGTGTATATATGGTGCATTTTCTATTTTTTATTTTCACCTTGCCTTTCATATAATCAATAACAATGTATCATGTGAAATACAATTACTCAATATATAAAGTGTTTTTAATCAAAATTTACATACTAATAAAAGTTTGTTATTTAATTAAAATTACATTAATTTACAATAATTTTTTAATTTTTTTAATAATTTGAATTAATATTATGGCAGCAACGGGTAAAGTATATAATTAATATCTCTTTTATTTTTTTTAAAACAAAGATAAAATTACTTAATTACTTAAAAATATCATGGCATTTCTTATATTTAGGGGTAAAATAAGTTTTTAAAAAATGCTTTATATATAAAAATTGATGGAGTATTTTTTTACAATTTATTTATTTTTATTGATTATTAATTTGATATTAATAATTTAATATACAATCAAGATATATATATATTTCCGGTAATTTATTAGTCATTGAAGTATTGAATGCATGGATATATATATATATATATTTTTCAGGTCATGTCTGTTTTTCTTTAAAAATTTGAATATTCTCATATAATGTATGAGGAACATTTCTAGTTAATCCTTTAATTTGATCTTATAAGCTGGTTTGTTGATTAGGATAATTACAGTTAGGTTTTAAACATGACAATTAAATACCATTAGGTCTATTAACAATTGAATATAGCAACATGAATAAGTTGTCATCTTTGTATATTCCATTGTGAATAAATCTTGTAATATTTAATTTTATTGTGTAGAACTGGTAAAATTTTCTCAAATTGATCTAAGGAGCTGGTGGTTGAATTCTCCACATCACGTAGTAGAAGCCTTCTTTATTTTTTATTTTTTTTTAAGATTTGGTCATTAGTTTTCTATGTTTTTTTATTACTCACATGTTTTTTATTGAAAACAATTCCACTTAAAATAGAGTTGAATATTAAATATAAATATTTTTTAATAGATATTTTAATTTTGATTCATCACATAGTAAAAAAAATTAAATCTAATCTTTTTGGCTAAACTCAATTTCGTTAATTTCTTACTATATTTATAATATAAATAATTAACTTCGGCCTCAAATTCTTACTTGATACTGCCAATAGGGTGGACTAGGCAAGAAAGTGGGTCCATAGATTCGGTTATCCAACAGGATTGCGCTGTACCTTCAATGAATGTTACTACTATATTTCAATCGCCTCCGGTCTTACGTTGACTTTTAGTTATTCTTCGAACGAGTAGATTAAAAAAATAAAAAAAATGTAATTCCATGAAAAGGGAAGATCCCTGGAAACTGTCCTGAGCGAGTCAAAAATGAATTTTCTGTAAGCATTCTAATATAGTAAAGTAAACAAATGTGATAGAATTTTAGCATTGGCAGACCCGGTAAAAAGGGGACTAGTTAAGCAAGAAAAGGACCCAAAAAAAAAAAAAATCAAAGGCTCAAGATTTGGATACATCAATTTTAAAAGGGAATCAGTTACCTACAGTTCTCCTTGAAAAGTTTTTTTTTTTGGCCGAAAAATATATATTAGAATGCTACCCTATAGTTTTGCCTACTTTTATTTTGCAAGAATTATACATTCCTACTCCATAGATTTTATACTTTGAAATGAGTAATACAAAGAAATGAAATAAAAATATAATAACAAGCGAATTAAAATATGAATTTTTATAATTATTTTATGAAAATAATAATAAAACTCACTAATTACATATTGAAGAATGAAAAATATTTTTAATTTTTAGATATTTAATTTTAAAAAATATTTTATATTTTTTAATGGAGAGAGTTACCTGCTGCATATGCTTTGGAAGGATCACGGATACTTGAGAATAGAAGCAAATGACAGAAGGTCCAACGATGATGATTAGGCCGAAGGCCCTCAATTAAAAGTAGGCGTAAATCTTTAGGCCCAAAACCAGTGGGCCTAACGATTGCGGCCCAAAATAAAGTGGGCCTAAAAAGTGTAGTCCATCAGGTCCAAGGAAATAAAACTAGGCCTTCTGCGCAATTCTGCATGATGCCACTTGCTCTTGGAACGACGAAGCGATGGTCGGTGATGAGAGGGGTTTAACTGAGCTGCAGGAATTCGCCTGCAAGAGGTTGCCTTTGATTGTCCATTCGATAGAGAAAAGCATCGGTTTGTTTCCCCCTCCTATATCGGATACCTAGATTCACTTAGGAGACAGAAAACGATGTCAGCTAGGTTGATTAAGAGGGTCCTGAATGAACAACACCGTCCCCTTGAAGTGAAGGAAGAGGAAGAAGAGAATCAGCTCCAAGGAGAAGATTCGGTGTCCCCAGAATCCGTATCTCGTTCTTCAATCAATCCCTTCGACCTCCTCAATGACGATGATTCTGAACCAGACCAGGTTCACTTATTGAATACTAGCTAGCTTGATGTCAATTGCAAGAGTATTTTGTTTATCTGTTAGGGTTGTGGGGGTAATGATAAGTTCGATTCAAATCCTTGGATGTCTGCAACATTAGTTTATGTAATATCATGTCTGGATTGGATTCTCTTTAATATTATTGGTAAGCAGAAAGTAGTTGGATTAGCAAGTTTCAATATCTTGTGTTTATTTTCTAATTTTCTTCATTTTCAGCTCGAATAGTTTTCACATTCTATTAAACCATATAATCGCACTTCTTTGCCCAGAGAAAAATAAGAAAAATTCTAACTTGGCCTTGGTGTTCTTAAATATGCCGGAAATCACCCGTTAAGGTGATGATTGTTCTATAATTTATTTTCATATCTGACTTAAAGTTTGTTTAACTGGGAGCACTTTGTTGAAGGTAGGGAATGTTCTCATTAGACATCTGAAATCTTTTTCTTCCATCAATTAAATGGTGTTCTTTTCTGCAGGAAAGCGAGCCGACAACTTCCAATGAAAGATTGAGGCGATCTGATGATAAACAGGAGTTGCCTTCATTGAAATATACAGCTGTAGCTTCAACGTCTAATCTAAAATCAAAGAAGAAGAAAAAGAAGAAAAACAAGGATAATTCTTCGTCAAATAAAGGTAGAGGTGAAAAAGAATTGGACCATATTCTGGAGAGTTTATCAATAGATGTCAACTCTTCTACTAAGCAACATGTCTCTACAAAAGACAGAATAGCGAACAGCAAACACCAATATAAAACTGTTAAGCAGCAGTCATTCTCCATATTACAAGTGGATCCTAAATATTTGAATGCTGAAAATGAGCTGAGAAGAATATTTGGTTCCAAGGTAGTAAAATCATTCGAGGGTAGTAATCAAGCTGGCAGTTCTAGGCCAATTCGAGGGGTGAGGCGTGGACACTATAATCTTAGGAAGACTGTTCTCGTCCATCCAGCTGACCATTGGCCCCGGTGGGATGGTTCTTTGTCCATGGAATTTTTGGAAACAAAGGATGGATATAGCTACTTTAGGTAAGGATTATTCTTATTTAGTTTATTGCTGATATTGACCTCCCCTTCATTTTTCTGCACCATCTGCTGGGCAGATCCTGCCCTTCCCGTTTCAGTATATGCCCATGTATGTTTAAGGACTTAATAGAAGCACCCTATAAAATTAACCAATCAAAATGTTGGCTGAACGACTCTAAATTTCTTGTTATTATTTTATTTTATTTTATTTTTGGCTCCCTTTTGTGGGGAATTTTTTCCCTGACAACCCTCTTTGGAAATAGGAGTGGAGGGTGGAATTTAGGTCTAGTTTGTGATTGTGTTCTTTATGTATGCCAGAGTTCCTTTAATCTTTGTAGGTTGATTTCTTGTTCAGTACCTTATTATTAAATTAATGTGTTCGTTCATAAACTACGACAACAATGATAGTCATTTGTCTCTATAGCCCCTCTTAATTTCTATTCAATTTTCTCAATTGTGGTTTGTTCTGTGACGTAGATATGAACACACGTCATCCTATTCTCAAGCTCAGAAGGCATTTGAAGCTGCCAAAGCAATTAATGACTTAAATGGTTTAGCTAGCATATTACTGTACCATCCTTATCATCTAGATTCACTTTTAACAATGGCGGAGTATTTCAAGGTTGTGGGTGAGCAACAGATGTCTGCAGATGCTACTGCCAAGTGTCTATATGCCCTTGAGTGCGCATGGCATCCCATATTCACTCCACTGCAGGGCAATTGTCAATTGAAATTCAGCCATGAAACTAACAAACCGATGTTCACAGCTCTTTTTACTCACATGAAGAATTTGGACAGGCGTGGCTGTCATAGATCTGCTTTAGAGGTCTGTAAGTTGCTGCTTTCACTAGATTCTGATGATCCCATGGGGGCAATTTTCTGCATTGACTACTTTGCTTTGAGAGCTGAGGAGTATGCATGGCTGGAAAAATTTTCCGAAGATTATAAAAGCGATAACTCCATTTGGTTGCTCCCAAATTTCTCTTATTCCCTTGCTGTTTGCCGGTTTTACCTTGAGCAAGAGGCGTTAGAAGATGGTTGTAGGGATGCTAAAAAGGCTTCTTCAACTGATCTCATGAAACAAGCATTGATGCTTCATCCTTCTGTTATAAAGAAGCTAGTGGCAAAAGTACCTTTGAAAGATCGTGTGTGGACAAATGTTCTCAAGCATGCCTTTTTCCGATCAGACCAAATAGGAATTCCATCTCAAGATCACTTGATAAATATATATGTAGAAAGAAATTATCTTATATGGAGGCTTCCAAAACTGCAGAAGTTGCTCAGTGATGCTGCACAACTAGTGCTTGAAACTACAGAAAATAATAGAAGTGAGGTAAAGGATTGGGCTTGTGTCAGAAAAGAAGCATTCTCATCTGAGAAAAATGAGTAAGTGAATTTCGTTTTCTTTGGTAAATTTTCGTGTTTATCTAAAAATTAAAAAAGCGTGAGGTTTTCAATTATCTAAAATTAGGTTTTCAATTATGTTTTCTTATGTTCTGAGGTTGGTTTATTTAGAATAATGACGAGATGTTTGATTAATTGTTATTTGTGAACAAGTACTTGCAGCATTTCAAAGGCGCATCTAAGTCTATACACTGCTTGTCTGAAGTGTATTTCTGTTCTCTTTTAGGCAATAGGAGAACCCTGAATGACGCATGTGCTTTGAAATGAATCTAGTTTACTTGAGGTGTTGCATAGTTAATCTTTGAAACCTGTGCATGTGATTTATAAGTGGTGGAAGAAATGACGGAAATAAACTAATATGTGAAACCTCAAGTTTTTCCCCCAAGCAGCTCAATCAACTTATGTGTTTATGCCAGTAGCAGTTTCCCCATCACTTGGTCTCTTATTAAACTGAAGTCTTCTATTTTGCTAGGTATGGACATTTGTTGGTTTCTGATTTTTCTGACTCGGTGGCTTCCATTCCTCAAGAGAATCTGCAAAATTTTATGGGCGCTCCAAGGATGAGAGAGGTTATGCAGAATGAGAATGAAATGGCTAATTTGCATGGAAATGGCCATGTTCATCGTGATGTTACCAACCGGAGTGCATTGGCTGTCTTGTTTGAGTCAATGCTACCATGGGTTACTTATGGGGATGGGGAGGATGGTGGACCTGATGGGCATCAACAAGACAATCAATAATTCTGGATGCAACTCGGCCATCAAGGGTCTGGAAATGGTGCTTTAAAGAAAATAATAACTCAACACCTACTCTTTTTCTTCATGGTGGGTTTGTTGGTTGGGAGGAGGAATATAGTTAAACTCTACGTGAATGATATCTCTCTGCATAGAGCCATGCCGCCAAATCACAAGCCTTGTGCTTTTGCGTTGATATTCTTAAATCAATCTCTATCTGGGATCTCAAGATGCCTAAAGATGGCATGGTCCACAGAGAGTTTTGTGGTGTCTAATTTTTGAAATGTTAAAGCTATACGTTATTGTTAAGGACGTCTGATCTTTGCGTTGCGAGCACAGTAGGGGTACTGATAATTGGGGGCGTTCTACTAGTGGTACTCTGAATTTGTGCTGCTCTCAATTGTTTAGGCATATACATCATCTTGCTAAAATTTCTGTGTAGATGGCTCTTTTCTGTAATGTGTTGCTGGGTATTTTCTCTATTGGTGCGGTGCCCTTGTACTTCAAGCAACGCGTCCTTACATTATCAGAAACAATTGATTCATCATAAGTTAAAATTGAACCAGAATCTAGTAATGTGGTAGCTAATACAAAAGGTTCCTGTATGTGCCAATCTGCTAACGTATAAATTGTCAATTATTAGTCGTTCATCATGATAGAATCATAGAAACAATTGACATCAACTTGAAAAGTCTCCCCAAATAAAAAAGTCTCCGAGGAGGATTGACATTGCCAGTGCTCTACATTATTTCCTTAAATCCCGCTTTCTTCGGATGCTCACAGCATAGGATGCTCACCCTCATCCTCTCTCTCTCTTTTGGGCAGGCTAGTGAAACAGCTTGCTGGTGGCATTGAACGGAGAGTTGCCCTACAAAAACCAAAAGGTGAATATAGCACCAAAGAGTCACAAGGATTTAATGTCTAACGTGTGATAACAAAAAGTCATTGTTAAATCAATTTTATCTTCTTAAATCAGTTGCCCCTAAAAGTTATTATAGTTGGAAAGTGAGGGCATGTTTCAAGTTCATCCCACAGAAATATAGGGGATATCATACTTTTTTTATATTCCTTCGTGAACATTTATGTGCACTGAAGCCAAAGATCCAAGCCAATGGGAGTTTCTTGTATCGCAAGAACCACGACACATTTTTGATATATGTGTGCGTGCGTGCGTGCGTGCGTGTGTAATTGAGATATTTGCATATGGTAATTTCCATCAACAATAGCATCTCCAGATTCTTGCTCCAGATTTTCTCAAAAGTCACAATAACAAGCAGAACGCAACATCTCCAGATAATTACTCTTTAGAACTTTATATACAGTGAACAATAATCAATTTCTTGAAACGTATAATGCTATGATAACAGATTGTGCAAGCTAAATGCAGAAAAAGCGGCAGAACGAGGCTGTCTAAACCTGGAAGAAGATGGCTAAGAAAATACTGTGGGCAGTGCTTTCTGTCATTGGAGGAGCATGCATAATAGTTTAATGATGGTAAGAGCAGAAAACAGAGTGAGCAGCCATTGATGACAACTATGGTCCCTCTCCAACCCAATACTTTCGTTGGACTTACCATTCTTCTTGCTTTCTTCTCTGTCTGCGGATATTGCGGGGATTTCAAAAGCTCCATGGATGTGGGGGACCAAAGCTAAGAGCATAATTGAGTTGTCATGTGAATTGCTTTTAATCGTTATATTATTACCACATGTACACTCCATTATAGGCTGCAAACATCATTACAATACTATCAGCTTTATCGACCTGCTAGATTATCTCTTCCATGGAGGACAAGTTTTAATTTGTGCCAGAAGTTAACTTTTGATCTCCTAACTCTCTAATTTTATATGAGGTTTAAGTTTGGTTTTTTAATTTTTTAACTATAACGCTAATATTAAATGATAATTTTCTGTATTAATTATTGTCATTTTTTTTAAAAAATAACTTCAATATGTTAATATTTGATAATATTTTATCAAGATTTAAAAGTTTAATTTTGGCATTTTTGTCAATGAAATTAATAATATTAGGATTAAAAGATCAAAAAGACATTTAATAGAATAAAGAGACTAAAATAAAATCTTATATAAAGTTAAAAGATCAAAATGTATTTTTACCTTCATGAAAACCAGGCTCACGAAAAAAAAGAAGAAAAAGAGAGATTTTTAATTTATATTTTTTACTTAAATTTAAAGTTAAGCAGCAGCATGATCTTAGATTCCATGATAACCCAATTTCTTCCATATTTGCAGCCTTAGGAGGTGAGAATACACAATACATAAACTTCAACACTAGTATCTTTTAATTTGAAGGGGAAATCTTGCCAGGTCGACGTGGGCGTGTGAGAAGTGGGAACCACAAGCAGAAAGTGATTTCTATGGATGCCTCTCCATTGACACCTATCATTTGGGGGGTTTCAGGTTTTCACCTTTTTCCCCCCTTTCAAGACGCTATAAAAAGGGGAGAACATAACCTTGAACGCACCAAATCATATGAATTTAGAATCAAGCATCAACCATATGGGTAGGAATCTGAAGAACGCTGCAATAGCATTCCTTGTTCCTCTTCCCTCAATACTCTTCTATCTCTCCTTCCACTACCACTATGACTCTACAATACTTGACACTGATGCTAACGTCTGGACATGGTGCTATCACCACCCCCTCTTGCTTCCCAATGCCCTCTTGTTCCTCAACGTCACTGTCCTCTTCTGGGTCATTGGCCTGATCCAGTGCAGCCATTGGGTACGTTTTCACTCATTCACACTCACACACCATAGATTGAGTAGATAGTTTCTGGGTTTGATTTGAAGGTGAGGTTTTTGTGGACTGTGATTGATGATGCAGATGATTGACCTGTATTGGACGATGATTCCTGTGATGCTTGTACATTACTTTGCAAGTCACCCTTTGGGAGAGTGTGATTGGTGGAGGTCAAGGATTGTGATATTGTTGAGCTGGGTTTGGAGTGTTAGGCTGAGCCATAACTACTTGAGGCGAGAGAACTGGCAATGGGGCGCCAGACAGGATTGGAGGTTCACCAATATGAGCCTTTGCTATGGCAAGCGTTGGTGGTGGATTTCATTCTTCACTGTCTACTTCTCTCAGCAGGTTTGTCTTTATACTTTATTTCAAGCGGATCAGTTCCTATGAAAATTTTTACAGACAGGAAAAAAGTGCAACTTTAACTCAATATTTTCAGTTTCTAGTACAAAGGTTCATCAGCCTAATAATCTTCTCATTATCTTCTCATTTTCTTAACCTTTCAAGAAAAAAGTAATAAAAAGATCCTGTTTCAGTCCTTTTTTAAACCTTAATAATATGTCTCACTTTTTGCAGGTGCTTCTGATTGCACTATCTCTTCCATTCTACGCTATTCACTCAGTGAATCAGCCTCTGAACCTCATGGACTTGGTGGCCACTGTAATGTGTTCATCTGGCATTCTCATAGCATACTTTGCTGATGCACAACTTCATAACTTTGTAACAAGAAACAAAAACCTTAAACATGTTGGAAAACCCTTAGTTCCTATTCTAGACAAGGGCCTATGGTATTACTCAAGGCATCCAAACTACTTTGGGGAACAACTATGGTGGTGGGGCCTAGCTTTATATGCTTGGAGCATAGGATATGGATGGAGCTGCATAGGGACAATAGGTAATACCATGTGTTTGGTTTATGTGACTAAGCTTGTGGAAGATAGAATGATGAACCAAAAGTACAGAGCAGAGGCTTATAGGATGTATCAGAAGACAACCTCAATATGGGTTCCTTGGTTTAAGGCTTCTGATCCTTCAGGCGTAAAAAATAAGAATGCTTGATGTTTTTTTTTTTTTTTTCGGTCCCTTCTTAGTGCTGCACTGCTGTGTGGTTTGTTCATTGTTTGTACAATAAGACAGTATATTGTTGGTATTTTTTTACCCTTTGAATATATGGTTCTGTTTTGTTAATTTGGAGGGATTATTGGTCTGCGCTAGCCATGTATAAATTACCATGGTATTGAAATGAAATTCTTCATGCTTATTTGTGATGGATACTTTTTCTTCTTCTTGTATAAAATTGAAACAATATTTTATGAATTTTTTAAGGATTGTTTTATATTAAAGTCTCATGTGATGATATCTGAACTCTCATGACGCTCTGTAAATTCAAATCACTCTCTCTCTCTCTCTCTCTAAATTATAAGACCAAATGTATGAAGGATTAAACAATTACTACATTAGAAGCTACAAATTAATCTATCTTTGGACATCTTAAAAGTCTTAGCAAAAGGGGATGAAAATGAAAAATAAATCTAATGGAAAGTAAATATATTAAAAATAAATTATTTCATGTTAATTAATGTGCGTATAGTATGTATATTTTTTTAGTATAATGAGACGAGATTTTGGAAGGAATAATTTTAATTTTTAATGAATGATGTAGTTTTTTATTTATTTTTTTCAAAATCTCTTGAAGATTTCACAATCTGATAATTGAAATGTCTTTTTTTTTAATTGTGTTTTAGATAAAATTATTATTGTAAATGTTAATTTGGGCTTTTGCCCCGTTGCTTACCAAACAAAATTGTTAATGTTAATTAATAGCAAAAAAAAAATGTTAATTGTTAATTACCCCCCCGGGGGACCCAACCGGTTGACTCAATGGTCTCCGGCGGGCGGGAATATTCTGTGGCACAGACTTGATATAGATAATCATTTCGGGGGAAGTGAAAGTGGTGTTGATCAGTAACGAGAAACCAACGATCAAAACCTGACCTGCGATTTGTAGTTGATTAGCATCCATATTCAAATTCTGCCCCCAGCTGAACTAGCCAAAATTTCACCCAAATTTTCAAAAGCTGTTATGACTTGGAATAATAGAAATTCCTATGGGGGAAAGAGGGTGAGGAGTGGAAAGGGTTTCAACTTCATGGCGGCGATTATACTCTCTCTAGTTTGTTTACTTCCGATTTGCGTCTCCGCAGTGAATTTGCGGTTCGGAAGTAACGGCGAATTTAGGATATTGCAGGTGGCGGACATGCACTACGCAAATGGTAAAAGCACGCATTGTTTGGATGTGCTTCGTTCTCAGTATGCTTCTTGTTCTGACCTGAATACCACCGCTTTCATTCGAAGGATGATCCTTGCTGAGAAACCCGATCTAATTGTATTTACAGGTATTGATGAGTTATCCTATTTCAGTCTAATCTTGAGAGACAATATTACTGACCATCCATTCCAAGATTATATTCAGGAGGCCAGTAACCTAATCCAAAAGTATTGGTCTGTTAGTTTTAATTTTATTTATAGGGAGGCAATGAATGTGCTAATTTTTTGGCTGGAAATTCTCGTGATCTTGTTTCCTTTCGGACTTTTGATCACCCACCACCTTACTGTTATAAGGTGGTGAAAGTGTTCTTTGTGATATTTTGTTCTTGTCTGTTTGTATTCAACTTCTGTTATTAATATAGATTACCCTCTTTATTAAAAAAAAAATTATTTGGGTTCTTTTTTCCTCGTGTTTCATCTGTATTCTGATCTTCACTTCTTACTTCAAATCACTTTATAAACAGCACCCAAGTTTTATAAGGTGATCCATCCCGCTACGACGTGTTAAACAGGCAATTACTTGTACTTGGGATAAAATATAAAGGGGAAAAAGATGGCAATAAAACGATTTTTGGACTTTATTGCACCTCTGGCGGCCAAGTTTGTTTGGTTAAGCTAACTAATTATGCTCGAATTCTGGTATACAGGGGATAATATCTTTGGAAAAGATGCTGACGATTCGGCTAAATCACTGGATGCTGCATTTGCTCCTGCAATTGAATCTAACATACCTTGGGTTGCTGTTTTGGGAAACCATGACCAGGAAGGATCGCTCTCTAGAGAAGGGGTGATGAAACATATTGTTGGGTTGAAAAACACACTGTCTAAAGTCAATCCACCAGACGTAGACTTCATTGATGGTTTTGGGAATTATAACTTGGAGATCCGTGGGGTTGAGAACTCTGAACTTGGCAACAAGTCAGTTCTTAATCTTTACTTTCTTGACAGTGGAGATTACTCCACTGTCCCTTCTTTAATCTCTGGATATGGTTGGATCAAACCCTCACAACAACTTTGGTTCCAAAGAACGTCCGCAAAGCTTGAGGTGCTGTTCTATCTGGTCCATATATTCTATCCATCCTGTTTCTCTTTCGTTAAATAGCTGCTTACAGATGTGAATTTGTGTGGATTTTCATTTTTTATACTAAGAACTTGACTGATTCAGTTTTTTTTTTTTTTTTTTGCTTGATGAAAACCTCTGACTAATTATTATCTTGGTTCTTCAGAGAGCATACAAGGATGAACCTGTGCCTCAGAAAACAGCTGCTCCTGGTCTTGCATACTTTCACATTCCTTTACCAGAATATGCTAGTTTCCACTCATCAAACTTCACAGGTGTGAAACAGGAGAAGATTGGCTCGGCTTCTGTCAATTCTGGCTTCTTCACAACCTTGGTTGAAACAGGAGATGTCAAGGCAGTCTTCACTGGCCATGATCATGTCAATGACTTCTGTGGTAAACTAAAAGGCATACAGCTCTGTTATGGTGGGGGATTTGGATATCATGCTTATGGAAAGGCTGGATGGTCGAGGAGAGCAAGAGTGGTAGTTGTTCGTTTGGATAAAACAGCGAATAGCAGTTGGGGAGATGTCAAGTCCATCAAAACATGGAAATGCCTTGATGATCAATATCTAACTAAAATTGATTCTCAGGTCTTGTGGAGAAAGAACTTTGGTCACAGGTAAGACAACTCAAGAATAACTGTAACTTTCTGGCTTGTTCTTTTTTTGTGATAAAGCTTAATTGGTCCTTAATCTCTGGAGACATTTATGAAGATAGACCTGCTGAACATGAATTTAATGCTCGTCTGTTTATACTTCATTTTTTGCATTTGACTAAATAAATGACACGAGAAGATCAATACCAGAAGAACTGGTGATTTGTATTCCTTAGGATAAGCCAGGTTGCATGGCAAACTCTATAGAACAAATGAGGAAAAAAGTTAATTACAAAAGTAAGGAATATTTGGTACATCAAATTTGAAAGTTATAATGATTTGGTTCAAGACAAGGGGATAAGGAGATGAACGCTACATCAGTTTGACAACTGCCAAGCTTGCTTTCATACTGGAATAACTGCTGAAGCTGGTAACAATTTACTGTCATACCTGGAAATGCTAAACTGAAGTAAATGTGATGTCTGGTGGACATTTCTAGCCAAATTTTAAGGACTAATGTGATGCTAAATATGAAAACATAAAGTCATTCATGGATTAAACAATAAAGGGGATCATATGCTATTGCCAACAGAGAGCAACTGCCGTAGGTTGGTGTCAATAATTGAGAACACTAGTGATCTTCTATGGAATAGTATATTTTATCTGAGTATATTCGTGTCATACTCAAAGAACGGAACTGATTTCCCTTCTGCTTCGTATTAAAATTTTTGGATAAGAAGCGATTACTAGGTTTCTGATTCTAGCGCTGCTGCCCTATCAAGTTAATAATCAATGTCTGCAAACAAGGATCCAAGGTTCTTTGGTGTTCCAATGTGGATACCGCATTGGCCCCGTCATAACATCAAAACTTCTTTTCATTCTCAACCTTAGGATTTGATAGTCTGCTTTCCGTTCTAGATTCCTAGAGTGTACATGTCACGTTGCATTATTTTTCATGCCATGTTCTGGAACTCAATTGTATATCTTGATTTTCGTTATAACAGGTAATCATAGGAGAAAACAAAGGGGCGGTTCATGGTTCTTTAGAATCGAGACGTTATTTTGGAAGTTGAGAGAGCAACAGCACAAGTTCTCTCTGAAAAATAAATGAAAGGAATGAAGTTCATTAAAATGGTGGGAGTGATTGTATTGCATGCTATGTAATTATAACTTTCCATATATACCTCAATGTAGAAATAGTGTATTTTATTTGAACTTTTGACCAATAGCCTTGGTGGAAACACCGCCTTTAGAATTTTGTGCGTGTTGATGCTTTGAGCAGTGCCTTGAGTGTAATACAACATATCATTGATATTTGAGATAAGCATGTAATGCCCCTGTATACTTATAATTTGCGAAATAAATTTTGAATTATTAAAAATGAAGCGTCCAATATCTTTTCATTTATTTTCAACTAATGTCCATTTATTTCTTCTCTCTCCTTCCTTGACCCTCTCTTTCTCTCTCATCTGTTCCTTCCTCTGCCATTCTTCATTTGGTTTCCGCAACAACAAAAGTGCCAAGAGATTATGAGAATTTACAACGCAACAACAAGATGAACCAACACATGAAGGGTCAATAAGAGATTGAACCAAAACTCACATAAAAAATGTTGGAGGACTCACTAATGATGAAGCATCTCCCCAAAACCAAAAAAAGCTTAAAATAGAGAATCAAAATTTTGAAAAGAAGCGAGATAAAGACATATGGAAAAGAAGTCAGAAAATTCTATTGCCGATGAATCGATCATTTTCTACTTTTCTATTTCTCTTCCTATTCACATTCTTCGCTTAGGGGTTTTCTCAATCTCACCATGGCAGAAGACTCAATATTAGTGCCCTAATCTTTATCTTCCTCATCTGCTCCTCTTTGATCTCCTTAGTCAATAAGTTTCAAGACACCTTCACTTGGGTTAAAAGCTTGTCCACCATCGATCTTCCCTAGGTCGCCATCATTGGGAGCCAGGGTAATGGCAAGTCTAGTGTCCTCAAAGATCTTGTCGACCACAACTTCTTGCCCAAGGGTAATGGTTTTTGCACTAGGAGGACTCTGGTGTTGTGGCTCATGCAAACTACAAGGAAGTTCGATGGCACTAAAGAGGAGTATGAGGAGTTCCTCCACTTGCCTGACAAGAGGTTCTATGATTTTTTTGAGATTTAAAGCGGAAGGCACAGAGAGAAGGTCAAGGAGGGAGAAAGAAGATGTAAATGGCCCCACGGTACAAAATAAACGAATGTTAGTTGAAAATAAACGGGAGATACTTGATGTTTTGTTTTGAATA